GCTGCTCAACAACGTCGACGTCGCTGCTGACGTCTTAGCTGGCCTAGTTGACACAAGGCAGCGCGAGCTCACTCGCTCGCTCACCTGCGCTGGCGTCGTCGTCGTCTTCCCAGAAGCAGCAGCAACAACAAAGTCAATTGCAAGTGTGAGCAAGAGCAAACATGTGCACGATGTTTTAACAACAAAAACCAGTAACAACAATGCCAAATAATGAATATGCATACTGGATGTATCACTCACACACACACAGTGTCGTCTGCATACACGCGCGTGTAAGTGCACTGGAAATGCAGCTCTCAATGAGAGAGAAAGAGAGGAGCGCTAAATGGGGCCACGGTTGCTGGTAAATTTGGGGCGAGCAGACGAGTGCTAGAGAAGAGACTTTCGCTTATCGATAACATAAGAACAGACAGGGAGGAACATATTTATTCGGCAATTATCGACTTACTAATTTAAACGATTATTTTTATAAACAGCTAATAAACTGGAAGTTATGAAAGCTGACTGGCTCACTGGAAATTTAATTCTAAGCACAAACAGCTGGCAAAATTGAGTGCAGCATCACATCCTTACGCACATCGATCTGCAGGTGGATTGAGTGCTCCCGATCGATGGCGATGGTCAGCTCCTCGTTGGCCAACTGCAGGGCGGTAAAGAAGGCCGAAGCCTTGCGCGAATCCACCAAGCACGAAGCCCGGTCACTATCTGCTGACAGGAAGCGTGGTAGGAGGCGCTTGAAGCGACTGGTGACCGTGGACATCTCGGAGGTGGCCACCACATTCAGCTCCCCGTCACTGTTGGCCTGGAACTCCAGGCTGGGCGACATATTCTTTAGCTTGTCAATCAGGCTTCGCAACAGGCGGAGCGAAGGCAGGGCCAGGGCCAGCTGGGAGGGCGGCACCTGGGGCACCACATAGGTGGGCCAGTCGCTTGCGGGGATTATGGTGACGGGCACGTCGTAGAGTACGTCTCGGGCCTCCGTAGAGGAAGTGGACAGCAACGAGCATGCCACAGATATGCAGGGAAACTGAATTCTCTGCAGCTTCAGTTTGCAGCTATTGGCGCCTCCGCCACGAAGGAAAGACAGAGCCCGGCCCAAATTCGCCGCAGACATGATCAGCACAATATAATCCTGATCCGGGTGAGCGGCCTCCATAACGTACTCGGGAAAGTACTCGGTGGCTGCAATGCTCACCCACACTAGCGGTGACGACGTGGAGCTCTGGTCCTCGTTCACAATGAGGTGCATCTGCTGTGCTCCCAGTATCATGAGGCAGTCCTTGGACAACTTCGACAGGGTTGCGATTATATTCTGGAATTCTCGCATGTACAGCGGATCCTTCATCTGGGCGCGAAACTTCATCTGCACAGCGGGAAGCGGGTATCGGTATCAGGAGGCAACACACAAAAAAAAAAACGAAAAAGGAAAAAGAGAACAAAACAAAAAAAAAGGAGTCAAACACGGCTGCCAACAACAACTACGCTGCGCTGTCCGCCGATCTCTTTTGCACTCGTTTCCTTTACACAAAACGAGTGAGAAGGAAGATAAAAGGCGGTTTAGGCATACTCTACTACAGTTCATATTTAACAGCTAAAGCCAAACACATGCTCCACGCGTGAGGAAACTGTTATACCCGAAACAGAGTTAGAGCATTGCCAGCAAAATCAAGACCCTTTGATGATAGAGATGAGAGAGGGTAGTGGAGTGGAGGCAGCAGCTCCGTCGACGGCTAAAAACTCATGGAGTTCAATGTACACACACACACACTCACTCATCAACCGCACACACTCATACACATAACCATACGTACACCACTCAAAGAGAGTCAGCCAGGCGATGGGCAAACAAAGCGGAGAGCAAGTTCCGACTTGTGTTTTGGCTTTTTGTTGTTTCTGTTCTGTTCTTTTCTCTTCTTCGTTTTTGTTTTGGTGGGGCAAAGAGCAAACGAAACGCAACTCGAAGTGAAACACACATACACATACAGATGCAAAGTGCCAGGTTCTCCCCTCCTTGCATACAAAGTCATCATCAAGAGCGGCAGGCAAGGCAGACAGACACAACAGGATTTTTTTATTCACCGCACTGACTAGCAAATTAGAGGAGAAAGGGAGAGAGGAGGATGGGTCTGGCAGAGGAACTGTGTGGTTTAAGGATAGGGGCTGGCTGCGGCGAGACAGGCGGCAGGCAGGCCTCCAGGCAGAACTCTCTCGCTCACTCACACAGTGCCAGAGCGGGATGGCAAGGCAAATCAAATTATGTGGCCCGGCCGTAGGCGTTGAGTATTGAATAAGGAGAGGGAGAGCCTCTGCTCCGGCTTGGGGGTCAAAATATTTTCCTTTCTGCAGTTCAATCAACTTTCAAGGTTGACTTTGGTCTTTGAGACGTTATCAGGCGGCCATTGGGAATGATAATACTTGGTATAGATGCGCACTGGCATGATGACAGGTAGCACACATTTTAGAAGATGGAAGAAGCTTCTAAATCCAGCAATTGCGTCACATGGACTTTTCCAGAAAAGATGAATGTGACACGGGAATTTTACATGCGCAAACAGCTATGTAGTACTTGAAGAGGGGGTAACAGTATTATACAGTGTTGTCCACTTCCTACAGCTGTTATACACAGCCATGACGTCACACGGTCCATAGCTTATTTCATCAAGCCACGAAAGAAAAGCATAGACATTCCTAGAAATGCTCATTGGGCGAGCGATGTTCTCACAGATTTTCCTTTTGTTGCTGCATTACTTGCAAAAAATGTTCTGGTCTGAGCACGAGGCTGTCAATTGAGCAAGAAAACCTCGCCAGGCCCCAAAAACGAAACTCAATGCAATTCCGAATATATTAAATAGCCAAACAAATACATGCACATATACAGAGAATAAAGAGAAGAGAACAATGCCAAAATGCTGACAAGAGGCCAAAGAATTAAATAAATGCTGTGCTTGGAAGAACCATCTATCCCCAACACACACATATGCACGCTCTCTTCCCCACGGCATCTTCAGTCGATTGAAGTTTACAGCATAAATAAAAGAGAAAGTAAAAACTTAACAAGATGCGTATAGGCCTTGCCACCCGTACCACAATCTCCGCCCCACAACAAGAGGAAATATCAATTCGAAATAGAACAAAAAAAAAAAGAACGCATACATGCCTGGATACCCTACACCGCTGCTGCTGAGGTGTGTTGCCAGGCAGGATTGGATAGATTTGATAGAGAAATGTGACTACGCGTCTACACATTATTCCCCAGACGGAATTTTTGTTACCCGATGCCTAATGTATACAATGACCAAAAGGTTTTCCTCGGGCAATTTCCACAGGGAACTGTCCGAAAGGCAGCCATTGTAAAAATCAATATCAAAATATTACCCACACTGAAATCGCACTTTATTCGGTTGAAACTTCACCAAAGTCTTGATGATATACTAGAGAGTTCTTGAGCCAGGCTTTTAGCAACAATAAATGACAACGAACTGTTCAAAAATTGCTTGGAAAAAGTAATACAAGAAAAATGCAAATGGTCGACATTTTGTTTTCTGTCTCGCTGCTGCTGCTTATTTGACGAAATATGTATGCCCGTATGTGAATGTATGTGTATCTCGTTTCCTGAGCCTCTGCCCAGCGGAGCCCCCACAATCAGACCAACCGCAGCACCCCTTTCATATCTTATAATGTGGCAATTTACATAACACATTTGTTTTTTTTTCACTTTTCCCTGACATTCGACTTACCTTTGAGCTAGTTTTTAATTATTATTTGCACAATTTTCACAGATTGGGTTTATGCCCGTAACAAAATCTCCCCGACCTCCGACGAACAGCACCGCACAATTCAGTGTTTTCCAGCACTGCCAATTGTAGACTTATCGATAAAGTATACCGCACGAACCTCAAAAAATGTATCTCCCTTTAAAAATATACCGTAAATATATCGTACATCTTAAATAATTTTCATAGATTTTGATCTTCTGCTTAATATTACCAGCTAGTTAGGAATCTCAACACTAAAACCACACTTTTATCCGATTTATAAAACAGTTTTAAAGTGGATTGGCTACTTTTCATAGGTGTATTTTATTGAATTGCTTAGAAAATATAGATCAAATTAAAAACGTCAACCAAAAAGGTGGGCATGGAACTTTACGCTCTTTGACAACTTGTTGCTTGTCAGCCGGTAGAATGGTATGTAAAGTGTCTTTGGATACCCTCTTTTCATTAGACATGGACTGACATGTTCTTAACCTTTTCCATATGATTTCTATGATACATAGATACATTATCGTTATCTGTAATAAAAATTCGTTGAGATGGATTTCCAAAACATATTGACATTTTTTTTACATTGATTTTAGGCTGAGATTTCCAACAATACCACAATTATATGCAATCCTTTTTCCCAAGGGTAGAAGGGATTTTCCTAATGGGGAACAGTGCTGGTCACTTTTCGCAGAATATTCCTGGCCCAGCTGGTTTTCATATACATATTCAGATATTTATTTTCATGTTACTGGCAAGCTTACACTCTTAGCCCTGAAACTATTGTTTTATTCGATACAATAATCAATTCACTTATTTTCATTACATTTTATATTGGATTGTTTACAAAATACGATGAATACTCAAGAATACCAAATATAATAGTACATTAGCATAAAACCACCAACCATAAGTGTACATGTATGTAGATGTGCCAGTTCATACAAGCAAATGGCAACAAAATAAATAAGGGACCTTTTTGTGTATTCTTTGTTTAAAGTTTAAAGCACTAAAAATATACAATCAAATAAGGATTAGTAATAATAATATGCTTAATTGTAGAGAATTGATTCATCAATCGGATAAAATCATATGTTCAGTGGTGAAATCCTGACTGGCTCAAAACATTCGATCGGATATCAAAATAGAAAATAAGAAAATTGGATGGAATATTTTGGTATTGCTTTGAGGGTCAGTAGGTATATTTTATCGATACCTAAGCGGTCTCACTGATTTGGTTGTTTTCAGCCAAAATTAACCGAAATTTCAGCAACTTTATTTTTAATTGAGCAAAGTGCCATTGCTTTTGATAAAGGTTTATGCTGATTACAGGAGTTCACATACTCACAACGACCAGTCCCAATAGGAAAGCGCCAACAAATGCAATAGGTCATAAAAACTACGAAACTTCATAAAAACGAATCAACTTCTTATCAGAAGAAACAACAACAAAAGACTGTAAGTGACATTAATTAAAGTCAAACAGAAATACGTTCGCCTAGCTCACGTTCATTTGCTCGTCAACCCCAATCCATCCCCCCGAAGAGAGCGGAGAAAAACAATTGCTGGCGGAATCTCTGACGTGTCACAAGTGCTCAAAAGAACATAACGGAAATGTGCGGCGCACCCAGCACAGCTGTCGGCAATGGCACTCGTGCCCTCATCTTGGTCGGTGGCTATGGTACCCGCCTGCGCCCGCTCACCCTCAGCACACCCAAGCCCCTGGTGGAGTTTGCCAATAAGCCGATTCTGTTGCACCAGCTAGAGGCACTTGTCGATGCCGGGTGCCGTCAGGTGAGTGTTTGAGTTCGCCCCAGCTATGCGTAATATTTATATAAGCCAACATGTTGCTCATCCAGGTCATACTCGCCGTCAGCTATAGGGCTGAGCAAATGGAGAAGGAGCTGAAGGTGGAGGCTGACAAACTGGGCGTGGAACTGATATTCTCACATGAAACGGAGCCCCTAGGTACTGCTGGACCCCTGGCCCTGGCCAAATCGATACTGACTGCCAGTCCGGAGCCCTTTTTTGTGCTCAACTCGGATGTGATCTGTGACTTCCCCTTCAAGCAGCTGGTGCAGTTCCATCGAAATCACGGCAAAGAGGGGACCATTGTCGTGACCAAGGTGGAGGAGCCCTCCAAGTATGGTGTGGTGCTGTACGACGAGGACGGCTGCATCAAGAACTTTATCGAGAAGCCGCAGGAGTTTGTTAGCAACAAAATCAATGCCGGCATTTACATCTTCAATCCATCGGTGCTCGAGAGGATTGAGGTGAGGCCCACATCCATCGAAAAGGAGGTCTTTCCGGCCATGGCCGAGCAACAGCAGCTATACGCCATGGATCTGACCGGCTTCTGGATGGACATTGGACAGCCCAAAGACTTTCTTACAGGTAGGATGACTCACTGACTGGAGAGCAGAGCACTCGCCGCCTATCTTCAATTGCCTCATTAGTCTTTATCGTCTGCCGTTGTGTCGTGCATTTTTTAATCATGTTTTGTTTTCGTTCGAATTTGTTTTATCTTTTTCGTGTGTGCTTTCTCGGAAGAGCTAAGGCCACGGAGAATGTTTGATAGAGCGATTTCTGCTTGAGTGTGGTGGAGGCTCGTTGGGCAGATAGCGTGAGCGGGAAGAACCCTGTCCCAGATAGGAGAATCCCCTGGCAGGAGACATTTATTGATATGCCTCTTCCTGTATATCTCTTCTAGGCATGTGCCTCTACCTGAGCTCGCTGCGTCAGAAGCAATCAACGAAGCTGTACACCGGACCAGGAGTCGTGGGCAACGTACTGGTGGATCCCACAGCCACAATAGGCGAAGGCTGCCGCATTGGGCCAAATGTAACCATCGGGCCGGACGTAATAATCGAGGATGGAGTGTGCATCAAGCGTGCCACCATACTTAAAGGCGCCATTGTACGCTCCCACTCCTGGCTGGACTCCTGCATCGTTGGCTGGCGCTCGACGGTTGGTCGTTGGGTGCGCATCGAGGGCATCACTGTGCTCGGCGAGGATGTAATTGTCAAGGACGAGCTCTACGTAAACGGGGGCCAAGTGCTGCCACACAAAAGCATTGCGGCCAGCGTGCCCGAGCCACAGATCATCATGTAAGCGGGAGGAACGGTGCCCCGCTGTTAGCTGTAGTCTAACTATGATTTAGTTTCGTTTCGGTATTCGACATTTGTCCACAACAATTGCCTTCTGTTGCCACCGTCTGTCTATTAATTGGATTCTGTCAATGAAAGTACTAATATTTAAGTCAAACCTTTGCAATATTCTAAACAAAGAGCGAAAAACAATGAGAAACATTTCCAATATTTAGCTTGGCTATTCTATATAAATTAAGGCTACATTTCCCCTTGGGGAATCTTGACTCGTAGTCGTCCGAGTATAAGTGTATAATCAGCCAAACCTTTTTCTACTTTGATACCAGTAAGCAGAGCGTAAGTTTTGTACTTATAATTCTACAAATTAGACAAATATACATAAATATATATTATGAAAATAACTGGAAACAACAATTAGTAGGATGTAGGCAAGTCCTGGAGACTGGAGACGGAGACTGGGACCAAGGATCGTGCTTCGAGGCTTAGAAATGAAAAGAAAGTGAAGAGCTGAACAGGACTCCTTTAGTTTATATAAAAACTTAAATTCATTCTCCATAAAAGCTATCCTTTCGGTAACCTTACCTTACCCTTAGCCGTGTACCTTTGAAAGTGCATAAAACGTTACCTAGCAACGGCTTCTTGGAGGAGGGTCTGGAACCACAACAGAAGTTGGAAATTTCTTTATTAAAATGTTGAAATCTCTGGGGCAAAGCGATGGCCAACAGCCACAGCTGCAACTCCTTTGGGAGGACAAGGATGTCAAGTTTGATACGCCACATCTGTAAGTTATTCAACGAGAGAGATGGAGGGGAATAGGGTCAGTCAACACATAAATTCCAGGCACACTCGTCTACGCACTGGAGAGAAGGTGCTGGATTACATCTACCATATCGAGGACAGCAAGGGTAATCCTGGGGACACGGGCCGCCTAATGGTCACCAATCTTCGGGTGATTTGGCATTCTTTGGTGCACAAAAAGTACAATTTATGTGAGTAACTACGATGGGGATTCATCAGACATCAGACTGACTCTCTTTGCCTTTTTCAGCCATTGGTTTTGCGAGGTTTGGAAACACCAATACCAGAATCGTGCACATGCACTCCAAGGGCAGGATGCCCAGTCAGGCATTGTACATTCTGGCCATCAGCAATGAGACGCGTTTCGAGTTCCTCTTCACGGATGTGTCCGGCGAAACGGCGCGGCGTGATCAGCCCATCTTTGCCAGCGTCTTTGATGTGTATCAGTGAGTGGAATATGGAAAATCTCTTGTAGAACCACACAAAATGTCAGATTCCTCGCACTATCCTATAGATTATATCAACGGACGTATCTCTATCGCGACTTGAAGCTGCGTGGAGCCATCGTGCTCTCTGGACAACTGATTATCCTGCCCGATGAGCAGGTCTACAGCCAGGTACAGGGCGTCTGGAATCTATCCAGCGATCAGGGAAATCTGGGCAGCTTTGTCGTCTCTAACATACGTCTTGTGTGGTTCGCTGATGCCAATGAGACCTTCAACATCAGCCTGCCATATCTGCAAATTGAGAGCGTGAGCTTAATCATCCTTCTGGCTAGAATCTTCCACCAATATCTGACTTTTCCTTCTAGCTACGTGTGCGAGAGTCCAAGTACGGGCCTGCATTGGTCATCCAAACAGCCGAGACTGGCGGCGGCTATGTACTCGGCTTCCGCATCGATCCCGCCGAGCGGCTGAACGATCTATTCAAGGAGCTCTGTTCGCTGCACACGGTCTACATAGAGCAGCCCAACTTTGGCATCCACTACGATGCTCAGGATGCGCGCCAGCGACTGGCGGATGCCGCTGAGGAGGCGGCACAAGCTACGCAATTCAAGATCGAGAATTTCGAGGAGCTGGACGAGCGGCAGGAGCGCGAAATCAATACCAAACTGAATAGCTATCTGGCGGAGGGTTGTGTGTCGCACAGCAATCCACAATCGGAAAGAGACCCAGTGTATTGCAAGGAGTTGGGTTTTGCCATGGAGCGGATACGGGAGGGCTACAAGCTGCAGGATTTGTGGAATGTTATGCCCACAAAAATGGAGATATTCGAGGAATAATCTGAAGGAATCAAAGATATAACTAATGAGAGTGTAGAGGATATGGTAATGGGTACCGGAATTCAGTACGAAATCAAACAAAGTTCTGTCGAAGCCAAAGACAATATTGATACAGAAAATAAAGAACGATTTCATGAATGAAAATGAAAGTGTAACTAAAGATTAAACACGATTTACGAGAAGATATCTAAAAGTTTAAGGACTGTCAAGAAAAGATCGAATAAGGCTCAAAGATTCGCTTTTTGGGGAATAGAAAAGGAAAAACAAAATAAATTCATAATCTTGTAGTTATTTTTTAGGGATTTTTATTGACGCATACAACTCGCTGTGTGTTTAAGTAATTTTGCATTTGTTTGGAATCTCTTGAAATTGTTCTTAGCTTAGGGCTAATGCTTGATAATTTGTCTTGATTTTATGCTTTTTTTTTGTTGCAAATTTTAATTATGGAATTTTGTTTGTGGCACTACTTCTTAATGATATCATAGTGTTTTGCATCTGTTCTGAATGGGGTGTCTGAGAGTGGGGCATCTACATATCTGTGTTGTCTGGGATCAAGCAAATTGATTGAACTATCATTGGGGGGGCTTCGGGTTGGGTTGGGTTGGGTTGTTGGTTGTCTTTTGCTTGGTATTATAAATTAGTTCATATCACAACACACAGTTGATTTGACCTCTAAATATATTCATATGCTGCTCTTACAGATAGATTTAGGTAGTATTATGTTATTATTATATATTTATGTATTTATGTTCATATAATATAGATTTATGAATGAATTAGTTTTGTTTCGTTTCTAAGCTATAAATTCTAACAAACTTAATTAAAGTAGGAAAATTAATTGTAGTTGTGGCGTTTACATGATCTTCTCCTCTTCTCCTACCTGTTCTTAATTTTCTCATAATTCTCTCTTTCTCGATATCTTTTTTTGTGCCTCAAAGGCCCAACGTATGTAGAGCATAATCGAATCGAAAGCATTGCAATTTTTCTGTTTGTACATGGGACAAATACAAAATAAGCATATTCATGGTTACAACAAAATAAAATACACAAAAGAACACGCAATCATTTTGAAATATGAATATCAGGAATGGCTTACATTTTACATGGTTTTGTTTCTTTATACATTTAATACTTTTTCTGCTGAAACTTCTTCGTTTTGCTAAGGACTGAGGCTAAACATAAATTCTTGAATCTTCAGTTTTTTGTTTGTTTGTTTGTTTTTTGCATACATGTCAGTATCAGTTTCAGTATCAGTATCATATATTCGTTAGTGGATTCTTTGTTATATCAGTCTTAAAGACCAAGTCAAAATTTTGTGTCTACCCAAAGTAAGTGAAAATGGGGGAAAGTAAAGCCTGGATCTCTCTCTTGAATGTGGGCAAAGTAAAGCCGGGATGTCTCCACTTTCTATGGCATAGCTTGATATTTTCCAAGAAAATCGGTTTAATGGATAAAACCCTCTTGGAAAATATATTAATTTCATAATGGTTATGCCTTACCCATGGGTTTGCATTACACTCCCACTTTCCCAGAACAATGCCACACGAATAGGCGCTTTGGAACGCGAGTCAAACATAAACAGTAACTAGAACCGAAAGACTTCGAACTTGGAAAGTTTTCTAGACCCTTTCCCATTGTCACTGCTGCTGCCGCATCGGATTACGTTCCACTGAACGAACATCCGAGATGATTGTATATGAAATTTAAGTGCTGCCACTGTGGCAGCTGCTGGCGGAGATCTGTTGACGGGCGCGTTGACGCGTCATGGGTGGCGAGGGGCGTGCTGGAGACAAGCCACCACAGCTGCGTTTCGCTGGGCCCTTTGATGAGGCTGATTTGCGCTTGGCGGGTGCACGGGGAGCCCTTCCCGTAGAGGTGGATGTGCTGACTGGTGTGGGAGTGGCAGCTGCAGCAGCCGCGGCACGGCTGCGTTTCGCTGGTTCCCTCTTCGTTGACGATTTGCGTTTGGTAGGCGCTCTGGCTGCTTCTTCCGGCGAGGTTGATGTGGCGGCGACTGGTGTGGGATTGGCAGCTGCTGCAGCACGACTGCGCTTGGCAGATCCACTCTTGGTGGTTGCCTTGCGTTTGACAGGTGCTGCAGGTTTGGGCGCCACTTCTTCTGGCGAGACTGATGTGTTGACTGGTGAGGGCGCACCTGAAGCAGCAGCGGCGGCTGCAGCTGCTGACGTTCTTGTGCGACGTCGCCTGGCCGTGAGCAGCGGACCGCGACGACGACGCTTTGGCTTGGGCTCGTCTGTGGCGCCAGTGGCTGAGGTGTGAGTGTTGTGTGAGCGAGATCTGCTCCTGGTGGCGATTGCGGTGATGGCGGCGGTGGTGTTGGGGCTCTCTATATAGGGCATCGGCACGAATGCCGACCCCTTATGCGGCAACAATGTCACGGAGCTGAGGAACCAAACGAAAGGCTTACTTTAAACGATGCTCCCAACGATTATGCTGAATACTTACCTAGGCTTTGGTTTCTGGATTGACTCTGGATCATCCTCGTCGTCCTCCTCGTCCTCGTCTTCGCTGTCATTCACGGCGGGCACAAATTTGGGTCGCTTCAGTTCAAAGCCGCGGAATTTGTTACTGCCAGAGCAAAGATCGACACGGAATTGGAATAGATTGATTGATGCAAGGATCTGCAGGACTTACATTTTAATTGGCGTTATGGGCATGGGCCGGATGGGCTTAAACTGGCACAGATCCATGAGTAAGCTATCAGTGCTGGGATTACGTACGCGGGCCGCTGCCGAGCGATGCAGTTCAGTGGGTGCCACCGTGTATACCTTGAGGAACACCTCCGTCGGCACCTGGCTAGCGGGCTTCCTGTTGGCATGCGCCAGTATGAAGCGTCCACTGCTCGAGCTGGTGGTGATCGATGTAATCCGACTCGGTCCGCATCCCATCAACCCTCCCGCACCGGCCAGTTTCCGCTTGAGCGTCTGGCTGGTTAGCGTTAAGGGCTTCGCCGGTGGCACTGCGGATTCAACTGGTGGTGGCGGTGGGGCTGAGGCTGGGGCTGGGGCCACGGGTGCGGGTGCAGGTGCTGGTGCTGACATGACCAGGGCCTTCTGCACGGTATCCTTGATAAATTCGGTGCCGCGATGCAGGCGCACGGATAGGGTCTTCATCAGTGCACTGGCAGCACTGGGACGCGAGGCACCCACGGCCGAGGGAGTGCCCACCGTGCCACCGCCTGTCCCATTGCTCGGGTTGCTGTTGATCTTGCCGGCATCGTAGGCCGGCATACCGGCTGCGGCTAGCATCATTACTGCTGTTCGGGCTTGAGCTGTGGCAGGGGCAGGAGGACTGTGGCTATGGGTGGGTGCTGCTCTGCCTCTGCTCCTCGGACCAGTAGCACTAACATGCCCGGCTCTAGCGGTGGGGCTGCAATCGCTTATCTCATTTACCACGCATTTTCCATCTTCACTTTACACTTGACTCTTTTTCCCCCCAACCCAACACAATTTTAGGCACTCTTTTTGTTTTCTTTTTCACAATTTGGGACTTCTTTTGCGTGTTTGCTGCCTCCCTGGTTCGCTTCACCGTTTTGCGTTTACCTCACACACGCTCGTTCGTACTACTACACGCACTACCACCTCACACGCGTACGCACACGAACACACACCACTCTCCTGCTACTACTGCTCGTTTGCTGCCTTTATTTTACCCATCCATTTCCATTGTGTGTCGCCGGTCCAAGAAGCCCTTTTAATCGTCCCTAAAGGCAGCTGTCACCAACACGATTTAGTCTTTTGTACTGGAAGCCATTAATTGTTTGTAAAATTAGCCTGGCCTTGTATGCGGGGCCAACAAGAAAATGGCTTTGCGAATTCCGCTTTTTGCTATGTTTTACGCTTTTACTACCGCACACGTTCATTCATCAGAAGCAGCTGTGGGCGAACGATATATCGATATACTTTTTTTGTTGATATTTTATTTGCCTCTGACGTCTAATTGGACTTTTTTTGGGGATATATCATCTAACCAACTTGTTTTTTTTTAATTTTGAGTCAACATTATTTGTTCTTGCTTTTACGCCGCTTGACCAACCACAGAATTTCAAACCCGCCACTTTTGATTCTACATATCGATGTACACATATCTCACTTTTGTGAGATAAATTGACCTTTTCCGCGTAACGATCTTTATCCTCTCCTGTTTCTTTCTTTAAGTTCATCAAAATCATATGAGTTTTCTATCAATTTCTTTGAGTAAATTCGAATTGAAATTTGCGATATATCGTTTAGGAATTCAGGCGATTATTTTGTAGACAAAATATTATAGTGCTGCCAGACTGATGTCACTATAATGGACTGACCTTTTTTTCTTGGTCTGGCAGGGATAAATTATGGGATAAATTATGCCATAAATCTGAATGTGAAATAGTTTTACCATAAAACAATTATAAAATTTTTTCGAAAGTAATTTTCGGATATGCAGGAGAATGCAATTCGGCAACATATAACAATCTCTATTAGGAGCTGAGCTTCCCAAATGAATGCCAGGTAGTTTTACTGCCACTTTGACTGTTGCCGCTCAATCGATAAAAATAAACTTAAATTTGAAATTAAATAAGCTAAAAAGCTACTGTTCGGCCACTGCTGCGATAATCTGAAATCATAGATAAGAGCGTCGCTCCGTATCAAGTTTATTATGGCAAAATAATTGCCCTGACGCATGCGGCGCTCAATTTACGAACCCAATCCGGTCGCGGCGCTTGCGCAGTTTCCTGTCCCAATGGCGGGCAAGAGGCGGGCAGAGATCGGGTGGGATCGGGTATGGCACGCTTTTGTGGTCTTGGCCACCCCCTAGGGACACTGGATACAACTGCTGCGACTGCTGCTGTTGCTGCTGCTGCTGCTGCTTCTCCTGCTGCTGTGACAGAAGTGTTTTTTGGCATGTCAAATGGCCGTTGGTTGCCGCTGCCGCTGCCGCTGCCACAGCCGCTCTACCTCTTGCTCCGTTTAATAACATTATGAAAACGCGTGTTTTACAGCTCATCATGAGGCCAGAAAGAGGAGTGGGAGCATTGCATTGCTTGCATATTTTCGTGCACTCGATTCTCACTGCGCCTGGCTGCCAGACTGCCAGTTAAGAGTCAAGTCCTCGCCATTGGGACGCGGCTGGAGGTCACTTCGTCGTCGACAGCGACCGCCCCCCCATTGCGCCTCACCAGGCCACCACGCGCTGCGACTCTGGCTGCTCTGGCCCTAGCTCTGGCTCTGGCTCAGCATCGAGTTTGGCCCTCTGCGCAACCGCACCGCTAACAAAAGCCAGAAGCAGAAGCCAGCGTCGGAGCAGGCGTCAGCCTTTGGGCAGAGGGCTATAATTTTCCAATATGCAAATGTGTTTGTGCCACAAAATGGCGCTGCGGTCGCCTCATTAGAAGAGTTCAGCAATCGAGAACGGGTGTGCGAGAGAGAGAGAGCTCCGCCGAGTGGCCGAAACCATTGACAATTATGCAATTTTGCAGCACGACTAAGCAAATTATTTTCACTAAATTAAATTTTAACTCGTGCTGGGCGCACTTCTCAAAAAGTATTCACGAGCATAACCACAGCCACAGGCCACATCCGCTGACTCCGTTGCGCTCCACGCCAAGTGTGTGCCGAGTGGAGAGGATTTGTGGGGAGAGAGAGAGAGAGAGACATGTGGCATAGCGTTGAAAAGCTTTGGGATGTGCCAGATTTGGGTTCTGGGGAGGCACGCAGCCGCAGCTGCCGCTGGGTGGAGGCACACAATGAAAGTGCAAACAAAGAAATCCCTCCAAATTTTCTTTCAAAAATAATTGCTCGTTCGTTGGCTTATCGATGTGACAGCAAACTGGGGCTTTGTCTTGGAGTTGAACATTAGAAATGGATCGAGAGTAAAGTTCTCTTCCAATTTTTATAGTTTATCCATCCAAATTGTTCTGAATTGTTCAATGGTTTGCTTTGGAGACTGTTTAACACTGTTACTGTTTCACTAGTTATTCAACACTTGGCAAATCGATAAACGCCCCCATAAAGCCCGCTGGAAATCTTCGTCTGAGAATAAATTTGATAATTTTGAAACCCACCAAGCAAATCGGTTCTATCCGTAATGAAGCTCATTTTGGAAATTTATGAACTCTGCGTGTTTATAATCAACGCGAGATGCCACAATACAAATGATTATTGAAATGCGCAACGCAAATGAAGCGAAATGAACACACAACAATAACAGATTTGTACGCAACAAATTCCGCACATTGTTTTCAACAAATGGTTTCTCTCTCTCTGGGAAATCGATTTAGTTGATTTTCAATTACATTTCATTGCGGCCTCAACATTTTTTTTTTCCACAGGTGTGAAGAGGTGCGTTTCTTTTCTTTTTTGTTTCCTTTTTTTTTTGGTAATGAAAAAGCCATAAATCATGACACAAATGAAGTTGAACTCTGGGGTTCTTGCGGCCCTTCGTTTTTTGTTCCTGTTTTATTGTTGCAAAGTGTAACATTGATTAAGCATTATTAGCGTTTATTGTTGTTGCGGCTCACTCTCAGTCTTCGAACAGCCTCCTCCATACCGAACCACTCCATTTTCTGTGGCATTCTAGACAGTCCATTGTGGCGCTCTTCACTTCTCTGCTCTTTCTATTTTCTTTCCTATTTTGGTTGTTGCTTTTTGTGCACGCACAGTGGGACACTTTCCATCATCAGCACTCCTCCGAATGATGGAACGCTTCGCTGGCCAGCTCTGGCACCACTATCAGGCCCCCCCTGCCCACAAAACATGCCCCATTTCGAGGGCTGACCGCTATGGGGGCAAACATATTGATATATGTTCTCTGTCTGTCGGTCGGTCCGCCTGTTCGACTGCTGGAAGTAAATCAAAATTGATTTGCTGTGTGTGTGCAGCCTCCTCGGGTAATGGACTTTTTAATGAACTCTGTGCCATGGACAATGGGCAATGCTTGAATTTTGGAAGGTATTTCCTAGCTGGTACTTCCCCTCACAACTCTACAAATAACATGTAAAAACCGCTTTTGCAAAATATATAAAAGAAATTGTTGAACCGAACAGAAGTTGCAGTAAAAACGAGTCAGAACAGTGACCAGAACCAAATTGGCCGAAAGCAACGTCGAGTGTGACGGGAGCCGAGCCACAGAGAGGCGGCGGCCATTACTCAGGCGCATTGGCTTGGCCAATAAAACGGAGCGGAGAAATGGCCATAAACACAGCCGAGGGGATTGGCCAGAGGCAAGACGAGTTCTGGGGGCGCCTGCAAGCCTCCACGAAAATCGGAAACAAAGCGCCCAAATTGATTTTGCGGTAGCCCAGGCAATAAATGTTGTTCAAGCCAAATGCTAAATACAACTTGACTAAAAGCGAGAGGGGTACACACGGGCATGGAAGGAGTCGAAGGGGCTGTGGGGGCCATCCAATCTCACAGAGCAGAAGGTTTGACAAAGTGAGAAATATGCATGGCAGAAACCACAAGCAGAAGATGGAACCTACCTCTTTGCTGTACCCACCATCGGGAAGGGGACCTTCCCTTCAACTGCAACGAGAAAATATGATGACATATCGCGTCATAGTTCAAACGGCAGGGAATCCACTGATCAATTTTGTACACAGCAAGGCGCCATCTTTTTGGCCCTTGCATGGCTCTTGCTCTGGCTCTGGCTCTGGCTCTTACTTTTATTTTCGAGGATTTAGTATGCAGGATAAAGTGTATATAAATATATATGTATAAACGGGGGCACCGGAGGAGCTTGGCCTGGTCAGTGGCTCACAGTGCTGGTTTTTTTTTTAGTTTATTTGTTTTTTTTTTTTTTCGTTTCGTTTCGTTTCGAGTGAGCCAAATCGTTGGCCATAATTTTTTATTATCCCCGAGCTCAGTGCAAAAAGACGAGGCAGACGCAGACGGACTCTTGGCTTCCGTTGGCGGACTCCAAGTTGGAGTTTGGCTCTGGGGGCTCTGCTCTGAGAGTAGCCATAAAAATAATTAATTGGCTTTTATGTGGCAGGAGCCGTTGAAATTTCGCTTGTTTTTCTGCATTTCCCTGTCCCCTGGCTCTCGGCTTTGTGTGCTGCCTGGCAAATGCAATTTCTGCATCGCATTCGCCAGTTTAATTAGCCATATTAATTATCTTCATAATCAGCATCTGTTCTGTGGTCGCACTCGCACTCGCCCTCTCACACAAATGCACACAAAGCTCATTTCCGCTTCTGCTGGCGGCCATTTTGTTTTTTGTTGTTTTGTTGTTTTGGCAAAATAATTAGTTTTTGCGGTTCCCCCCATTGGCCACTCGACCACAGAATCAAATACATTTGTGTTTGATTTTTCCATAAATTGTGCACAGAGAAATTTATGTGGGACTTCGGGGCATCGCAACCGATTTCTAAATTGTCATTAAGTGTGGGAAGCTTTCCCATTGGGAAATAATCTCAATAATATGTAAAGAACTACTGCTTTGAATGGCCACATTCTGTAGCGCCTGTCTGTATTTTCTGAGAGAGCTTTGAACACATAAAACCATCCACATGTAATCTAGTTAATAATGCTGAACTCCATGAAATATTCGCTGAAATGTTTCTGTCATTCTTCTGTCTGCACCTCTGACCTAAGCTAAGGCCCCACCTGATTACGTTGCTTTTCTCCCACAATGCCGTGGAGCACCTTGCAGAACTTTAGCAGCGGTTTTTTCTGCCCATTTTTATGCCACTTGTTTAATGTTTAATCATACATTTCCCAGCCCTTTCTTGCCGTCAGAACGACTTCACTTTGCACCGCCGCTTCCTTTCGCAGACCCCATGATGATCATCGTCGTTCGTTGCCATTAATTTATGCGCGGAAAACTGCAGCACAGTGTGAAGCATTTTCCCCATTGCTTTTTGTTCTTGCTGGAAAATGTTCTTCG